CTCCAGTGATCCTTCCGCCTCAGCCTTCCGAGTAGCCAAAATTATAGGCATGCCCTACCACGCCCGGCTGATTTTTTGATTTACTGTAGAGATGAGGTCTCGCCTGCCCAGGCGGGTCTCGAACCCACGGGCTCAGGCAATTCACTCACCTCAGCCTCCCAAAGGCGTGGGATTACAGGCTGAGCCACCGAGCCCGGCTAAAACTTCAGCTTCTTAACCTTCTCCTTTTATGAATGAAGAAATGAAATCCAGAAAAGGGAAGTGAACTGCTTCGGGAGATATCTGAAAGATCTCCTGACTTGGCCCTGACTTCTTGCTGCAATACACTTCATTATGTCATTTTGATTTTTCTTAAATTCTGTCTTTCTATGAGCATCTTTTTTGTTCTTTAAAGACAGGATCTTACTATGTTGCCCAGGCTGGCCTCAAACGCCTGGACTCAAGGGATCCTTCTGCCTCAGTCTCCAGTATAGCTGGGACTAGAGGAGCGTGCCACTATCTCTGGCCCTGTGAGTATATTACTGCAAACACTACAAAACTGATACCACGATCCCCTCAAGCTTTTTAGTTAAAACCAGGCTATCTCCTTTGCCCCCGTGGGTTCCAGGAGTAACCAGACGGTCCTGGGAATAGTGGAGGTGGATCTGATTCCTAGTCCCTGAAGGATGAGTTTCTGTGCACCTCCTCCCCTGCTTAAGGCTGGTCGTGCCGTGCTACCAATGTGCTCTCTGGGCGAAGGCTCCCCAGGAATTGGCCCAGGGGACCTCTGAGGAGCACAGTCCTTGGAGTCATCCTAGCCAGTTGTGTAGACTTAAGACATGTTGACTTTTCCAAGTCTCATTTTCTTTATATATAAAATAGGAATGATATTAAGGTTCTGGGTGGGCATGGTGGCTCACACCTGTAATCCCAGCACTTTGGGAGGCTGAGGCAGAAAGGTTGATTGAGGCCAGGAGTTCAAAACCAGCCTGGGCAAAACAGTGAGACTCCTAATGAAAAAATTTAGCTGAGAGCAATGGTTCACACCTGTAGTCTCAGCTACTTGGGAAGCTGAGGCAGAAGGATCACCTGAGCCCAGGAGTCTGAGACTGCAGTGAGCCACTGCATTCCTGCCTGGGCAACAGAGAGAGACCTCGACTGGAAAAAAAACTAAGATAATCTACTAAAAGCCCCCAGCTGTGTGACTTCGTGTGATACGTTCTCAATAAATGTTAATTAATTGCTCTCTTTCTTTACCTCCATGCCCATGTATGTTGTTTACGCCATCCTGGGTTAGATCAGCTAGCTTCTTCCACATAGGAGAAAAGTTAACCCGAATAACAACTGAAATATAGTTGTTTAAAGCCTTGTTTTTGAGTCGGAGTCTCATTCTGTTGCCCAGGCTGAAGTGCAATGACACACTCATGACCACTGCAGCCTCAACCTGCTGGGCTCAGGCAATCCTTCCGCCTCAGCCTTCCAATTAGCTGGAACTACAGGCGAGTGCCACCATACCAGGTTAATTTTTTGATTTATGGTAGAGATGAGGTCTACCAAGTTGCCCAGGCTGGTCTCGAACGCCCGGGCTCAGGCAATCCTCTCACCTCGGCCTCCCAAAATGTTGGGATTATAGACGTGAGTCACTGTGCCTGGCCGTTTAAAACCTTTTATGGAAAACAGGCTTTGAGGATGTGTAGGAAAACAGAGCCTTTGCCCAGTTCCTCTGTTTTCATCCACAAGTGCATCCACATCCCCCAAGGAAACACAAATAGCCTGGAAACAGCTGATGCTGGCAAAGGCAGTGGCAGATAGCGCCCTCCCACCTCCCGTGAACTGGAGCTCGACCCTTGGACAGCCTACTCAGCTCACCTTAGCAAGGTGGAAAATGTCAGAGGAAGTGGTTAGAATTCTACTGCCTTACCCAGAATTGTAAGCTGCCTAACCCCAAGACACTCCTCCAGGGAGGAAGTTGCAGAAGGCTGGTGAAAAACCTGTTTGGGAGTAGGAACCATCACCCCGGGGGCAGCCCAGGGAGGGGAAGCAGAGGAAATCTCCAAGGTAAAGAGAGCATGGACACGTTTTCTTGGTTCTTTTGTCACCCAGCAAAGGGGTCCCTTTCAAATGGCTATGAGCTGAGACAAGCAACATAGCAGGAGGCCCTGACAGCCTCTGTGGACATCCTAAGACAGAGATCATGTGATGACAAACACACATGTGCTTTGGTGAATTGTTTATATTCCTCTTCGAGCTCTCCAGTCACCAGGTGAATCCCTGAGGGTAGAGGTCATGACTCAGGTGCCCTTGAACTGACTTTGACTTCTTTAACAGACAGAGCCAGGTTTTAGAAACAGACTTGGCCTCAAACCTCAGCTATGCTACCTATGAGCTGTGTGGCTTCGGGCAAGTTTTTTTAGGTCAGTTTCCTCAGCCATACATGAGTTTTGGGAGGATGAAGTAAGACGATGCCTGAAACTGCTGGCTGCTGAGAAAGTCTTTCCATAAATGCTGGTTCTCTTCCCTTTGTAATACTTAGAGCAGGGGTTCTCAATATTTATTTTATTATTGTTCCCCATAAAGAGGAGTTTTAGACTATTTTTTGCCCAATAAAATCTTAACACAGAGATATACTGTATGTCTGTATATGTGTTGTATGCATATCTGTCCTCTTTACATTAAAAATATATACATGTGTTTGCCTCTGATGACTGATTTTCACTTTCTCAGGGGGATATCATCCCCACTGAGAATGCATGTCATAATAAAGTAGCCTGTACTCCACTCTACTGGATCAGTAAAGAACCCACGACACCAGTTTCACCTGGTTCAGAGGATGGACACAAAAAAATTCCTGGAAAACATCCACAACACCAAGAGATCTGGATTTCAGATACAATGTTTAGATAACAGAAGGCAAGTGTGTCATTACAAAGTGACATGCTCACACTGGAGTGACTAGCAGTATTGTAGGTTGGAAAGACCCAGAGAGAAAACAAGTCCACAGCGACAGAGGAGAACAAACCAGAAAGAATCTGCACAGTTCTCCTCAAGAGTGACACAAGATCATTTTTAAATTCCTGAATTATTTTTTCCAGTGTTTTTCTACTTTCCTTGAAGCGCCACTCAAACAGCTAGAAGATTCCTGCCCAGGCCAAGGGGTGGTGAGAGCGATGACTATATTGAAATACACTCTTTCGTGCCCCCTCCCATTCCCCTCATCGCTATAGAATCAGGGGGCAATGGACTTGTGGGTGATTTGGAGGGGTGTCGAGTAGAACTTGCCCTCACCCAGCCTTGGAATTTTATTCTTTGACTCTTACATGTTTTCAGTCTTGAAACATTTTCTACAGAATGAGAGGCAGGTCCTGTGGAAATGGGACAATCAAGTCAAGAGGGAAGGAAGCAGGGATGATGGGAGAGACAGAGATTCCAGAGGCAAACTTCTCCTGTCTCCAAAGTCAGAAAGTGTTGGCCTCCATGCTACCGACGCCAGGCAACCTGGGACGCAGCGAAGGTTTACCTCTGGGGTCTCTCTATCCGGCACCCAACTGGGATTGAACTTCAGCTCCGATGGCTAAGATGTCAAGTTATGGATTTGGTGTCTAAGCCCGCATAACGCAAAACAGCTAAGCATTAGAATGTTATGAACTTGTCTTTGCTCAATATGAAATCCCTATGTCACAGTTCTCTAGGGAACCAGATTCAGCCGAGAGGGCATTCATCTATTCTAGCAAAAGGATTTTATTTATCAAATCTTTTTATCTACTTAAAAAACAGATTTTATCTATAATAAATTTAATAACAATATTATTATGAAAATTTAGAATATTATCATTCTTTTTTAAAATTGTAATTCTTCATTCTTTTCTGGAGAGACAGAATCTTGCTATATTGCCAAGGCTGGTCTTGAACTCCTGGTCTCAAGCAATCCTCCCACCTCGGCATATCAAAATGCTGGGAGCCACCATTTTATGTTTATAAAAAGATATTTCACATTGTCTTTATATTTTAGGTGCTTGGTATTTCTTTTCTTTTCCATTTTTTTTTTTTTTTGGAGTTGGAGTCTCACTCAGTAGCCCAGGTTGGAGTGTAGTGGCACACTCACGGCCACTGCAGCCTTGACTTCTTGGGCTCAGGTAATCCTTCCGGCTCAGCCTTCCAAGTAGGTGTAACTACAGGCGGGTGCCACCACCCCTAGCTAATTTTTTTTAAACATTTATTATAGAGATGAGGTTTTGCCATGTTGCCCAGACTGCTCTCGAACCCGCGGGCTCAGGCAATCCTCTCGTCTCCGCCTCCCAAAGTGCTGGGATTACAAGTGTGAACCATCCAGCTGGTATTTCTTTTACAAGGACTTATTTTATAGAGTAGATGGAAGTAGGGGCTTATTTATCATTCTGAAGAAATACACTCTGAATTGACTAAGTGAGCGGTGGGCTAGATGCTAATTGCTTCATTGTGGGTTGAAGAGGTGGTGCTTTTGTTTGTGTGATTTTGAGATAAACCGAAGGATGATATCAACTGTGAGTCACTCACAGGATTTCATATCCACAGAGCTGGCTATATAAAGAGGGACATTTAGGGAACTAGTACTGATCAGGAACAGAGTCAACTGAGTTAAACCACTCCGGAGACATCTGCAATGAAGTTTCTCCTCCTGACACTCGCTCTGCAGGTCACCGCTTCTGGAGTTCTTCACCTGACCAATGCTACAAACCTGAAGGAAAATAATGTGACATTTGCTGAAGTAAGTACAAACACTACAGTAGTGATCTACTCTAGTTTTTGTCTTTAAGATTTCATGGATTGACCGGTTGTTGTTTTTTTTTTTTATTAACTACTAATTAAAAACCAGTCTAGGAAGCTGTCTGCTTTCAGCATTAAGTTTTTCTTTTGCCAAAGAGGAACATAAAAGAGGTACTGGTTTTGAAGGAATGTTCTGAAACTGGCGAGTGAATTTGTTTCTTCTAAAAACTTTTGGCCAAGGAATTTCAGTTCAACATAATTGAAGTTCACTCCTATTATGATATTTTACACTAGTCACTTAAGGCCAGTTAATGATCTGAGGTTTGAACAATGGCTTGAACAATTTAACCACTTCCGGCTGCCATGATAATTTAAGCCTAATCCCTTTACCTGCACTCATCCCAGATATTTCTTTCTTCTTCTTTTTTTTTTTTTTGATTTGGAGTCTCACTCTGTCACCCAGGCTGGACTGCAGTGGCACGATCACAGCTCACCCCCACCTCGACCTCCTGAGCTCAGGCAATCCTTCCACCTCAGTCTCCTGAGTAGCTGGGATTACAGGCATGCACCGCCACACCTGGCTGATTTTTAAAATTTTTTTTGTCGAGACAAGGTCTTGCTACGTTGCCTAGGCTGGTCTTGAACTCCTGCGCTCAAGCAATCCTCCCCCTCAGCCTCCCAAAGTGCTGGGATTACAGGCAAGAGCTACCATGCTCAGCCTATAGCATTTTTTTAAGTCGGATTTTTTTCCTTTCTTAACTTATTTTTCCTAATTAAAAGAGTTTGATCTCCCTATTTTCCTTCCTTCATTCCTTCTTTTCTTTCCGTCTTTCTTTTTGTTTAGAGACACAGCCTTGTTCTGTCACCTAGGCTGCAGTGCAATGGCATAATCATAGATCACCGTGGCCTCAAACTCCTGGGCTCAAGTGATCCTCCCACCTCGGCCTCCCAAGTACCTAGGACCACAGGTGTGCACCACCATCAGCCAATTTTTTAATTTTTTGTAGACACGGTGTCTTTGTTACCCAGACTGGTTTCAAACTCCTGTGCTCAAGCTTCCCAAAGTGCTGGAATTACAGGTGTGAGCCACTATACTTGGCTGTCATCTCCCTATTTGCTAAGATTATTTTAACATTGAATTTATTATAGTTTTTCACTGTGTTTAGCTTTGGGTTTTTAAGCAAGAATTTTTTATCCCAACTTTCATTTAAAATGTATGTATCCTAACAGTAAAGGTTTTGCCACTTCCTGAAGGCCATGGCAGGCCAAATGTTGACATGGCTTTTATTTATTTATTTTTATTTTTTAGATTTTACGAGTAAACTATTGATGGGCAACACACATACAGAAAAGCACACAAATCATAAATGTAAGCGGTATAAATTGTTTCTAGTCAGCTTTTTAAAGGAGTTTTAAAAAAATGTACCCTTTAAAAATACTTAACAAAGGAGTAGCACACATTCCGAACAGTTGACCCCTTAAGGTGTACCACTCAATGGTTCTCACATATTTATAAAGTTGTACAATCTCCACCACAATCAGCGCTAGAACATTTTAGTCATCCCAAAGAGAAACCCCTTCCCATTAGCAGTCATTTTCCATTTCCCATCACCCACTCCCCCAACCAGCCTCTGCCAACCACTCATCTATTTCCTGTCTCTAAATTTGACATCCTTAGGCTGGGCTCGGGGGCCCAGCCTGTAACTCCAGGGCTTTGGGAGGCCTAGGCGAGTGAATTGCCTGAGCCTGTGGGTTCGAGACCCATCCAGGCAACTTGGCGAGATCTCATCTCTACAATAAATCAAAAAATTAGCTGGGTGTGGTAGCGTGCGCCTGCAGTTCTGGCTACTCGGAAGGCTGAGGCGGAAGGATCGCCGGAGCCCAGCAGGTCGAGGCTGCGGTGGCCGGGAGAGTGCCACTGCACTCCAGTCTGGGCGACAGTGAGACTCCAACTCAACAGAAATAAAAAGAAAAGCTGACCTCGCTTTTAAAGAGTAGAGACAAGTTTGAAGAAGTGGAACCATAAACTGGGCACCCCGAACTAGATCTCACTAATAATTTATGACATGCCTTTGATAGCACCAAAAATTAAGATTTTTCTTCTCACGATTAATTGTCCAAACCACAGTCATCTAACCTGTGAGCAAAATGTCCACAATTGCTGGTTTAATAGCACCAGTGTGCAGTCGAGTCACATGCAGAACTCCCAACAGAAACTTTCCCGTGTATAATTATGCATTACCCAACGTATGTTTTTTCTAGGAGTACTTGACAATCTTTTATGACCTCAAGATGGAGCAACTTCCGATGACAAAAGCGAAAGTCGTTGGGAACTTGATAGAGAAAAAACTCCGGGAAATGCAGCAGTTCTTTGGGCTGGAAGTGACTGGGCAACTGGACCCGTCGACCCTGGACGTGATGCACACCCCTCGGTGCGGGGTGCCGGACGTGCATCCGTTCAGCGTGATGCCAGGGAGGCCAGTGTGGAATAAGCGTCATCTCACTTACAGGTAGTGGAGGAGCATATTGCCATGTCATTTTCTACTTTCCCGTCGGACTGGCTTCTAACCTGAACCATTTAGATACAGCCCGAAATTTGGAAATAGGCAGGTGTCCTCCCTCAATTGTGAAAACTGCCTTTGTGGTAAAATTCATTATTTTGGATTGTTCAATCAAGGAAAAGTAGTTTGGCTCGCCATTCCAGGGCAGGTTAGGAAAGCTGCCTGTAAAAGGAGAATGAAGCTGAATCTACTATAAATAAGAGACAGCAGTGGGGTGCGGTGACTCACGCTGGTCATCCCAGCACTTTGGGAGGCTGAAGCAAGAGGATTGCCTGAGCCCAGGAGTTTGAGACCAGCCTGGGCAACTTGGCAAGGCGTCGTCTCCACAATAAATCGAAAAATAAGCCAGGTGTGGTGGCACGCACCTGTGGTTCCAGCTACTTGGAAGGCTGAGGTGAAAGGATCGCCTGAGCCTAGCAGGTCGAGGCTCTGGTGACCGTGAGCGTGCCACCGCACTCCAGCCTGGATGACAGAGTGAGACTGACTCAAAAAAACAAAACAAAACAAGGGCAAGAAACAGGAGAAAGATTACAGAGTAGTCAAGATGGATGAATGTAGAAGCCTGGGAGAAGGAGCCAAAGGCATAAGCTTCTGTGAAAATAAACCCTTCACAGAGCTGACCTAATAGTCATAAATAAGAAGAAATTAAGATAGACTTTGGATAAGGAGGAAGCTGTCCAAGGAAAAGTGTTTCTGTACTTTTGTACTTAATGAAACAAGTTCTTTTTTTTTTTTTTGAGTTGGAGTCTCACTCTGCTGCCCAAACTGGAGTGTGGTGGCATGCTCACGGCCACCGCAACCTAGACCTGTTGGGCTCAGGCGATCCCTACATCTCAGCCTTCCACGAGGCTGGAGCCACAGGTGCATGCCATCACATGCCAACTATTTTTTTTATTTATTGTAGAGACGAGGTATCGCCAAGTTGCCCAGGCTGGTCTCGAACCCGTGGGCTCAGGCAATCCTCTTGCCTCAGCCTCCCAAAGTGCTGGGATGACAGACGTGAGCCACTGCACCTGGCAGCAAGTTCTTTTTTTAAAAAAATCTGGACTCTTGATTTATGAAATGATTCATCTTCCAATGATGCCAGCAAAAATGAAGTATTGTGATAAGACAAAAATTCACATGGTTTTCATGTTTGTCTCTCTCTTTTTGCTGATAAAGAATCAATAATTATACTCCTGACATGAGACGCAAGGATGTTGACTTCGCCATCCAGAAAGCCTTCCAAGTATGGAGTAATGTGACCCCCCTGAAATTCAGGAAGATTGACGCAGGCGAGGCCGACATCATGATAGGCTTTGCACACGGAGGTAGGAACCCAGACTTTACCTGTGTCATTGGGCGTGGTCTGAAGGATGCATAGGAGGACTGATGTTCTTTCCTTTTTCAAAAGCTCACGGAGACTTCAATGCTTTTGACGGCCAAAATGGAATCCTCGCCCACGCTTTTGGACCTGGATCTGGTATCGGAGGAGACGCACATTTCGATGAGGCTGAAATCTGGACTGCAAGTTCCAAAGGTGGGAAAATCAACCACCACCACCACCATCACAACAACAGCACACACATACACGCACACAAGCAAACACAAAACTAATACGACAAAAACCCTAACGAATTCTAAATCATACCCTGATTTCGAAAGACTACATTCTGACAAATGATTATGTGATGGAAAAGATGGAACAACTTGTTCTGATCATAATTTTGCCTCTCAATCAAACACTTTGAGGAGGGTCTCAGTTTCACCCTCTGTAAGTTGAAGATATTGCACTGGAGTACCTTAAAGATCAGCTCTAAGAGGCGGAGGATTCTATGAGCTATGAGTTAGTTCATCAGTATAAATTCAGAGGGTCCTTAAGTGTGAAAAGGCAAAATCTGTTATTTAAGTGATACATTTTTGATAGTGCGATCCATAAACTTCAAAGTAAACACAGACACTGATTCCATGTGTGCCAGCAATTGTAGACTAAGATGGTCATCTTGATTTGTAGTACGCTGACAACCTCTTAGATTCACAATGACAAAGAAAGATAAAGCAATAGCGAATCTAGACATCCTTATAGAGAAACACAAGACTGTACGGTCACGTGGTCTTGGAATAAAAACGGCCGAGTGCCCAACTGATCATTTAAGACCTAGGGTATATTTATAGAGCCACTGAACTCACCCATCCCTCTCAGACAGTGGGTTCACTAAGTTCCCTGTCATTTGTGGGAATCACTAGCACGGGAAAATTTCAACCATCATATCAGAAGCCTTCTTAATCTTTCTACTGGAAATTCTAGATTATATGACTCCCTCATGAGCAAAATAAATGGGGAGAAAGTCATCGTGCTATTCCCGCTACTCAACACCCTCTTCTTACTGATACTGCATGCATACGATGGCAATAGATATTTTTTTTAATTTTTAATTTTAAAGATGTGGGGTACAATTCAGGGTTAGGTCCACAAATGTTCATTATGCAGGTATCCTTGTGGATGAGGTGTGACCCCCCAACCCCCACCGGAAGTTTCCCACTGCTTCCAATCCCACCCCTGCCCTCCCCTGGCAGATTCCCACTACTGCCAATCCCTTTCTTTTTTTTTTTTTTTTTTGAGTCAGAGTCTCACTTTGTTGCCCAGACTGAATGCAGTGGGCCGCTCCCGGCCACCACAGCCTCGACCTGCTGGGCTC